CTGCGAGGAAGATGATGAGGATGACAATGCTACAACTCCGGACGACTCCGGACTTGAGAGGGGTGACCGTATCTTCGTGGCTATTCCTCCTCCGACTCCGGAGTACCTTCGGAGTCTTCAGGAAGAACATATCCGGGCTTCGGAGACAGTCTCGCAGCGCCTTGCATTGGCTTTCCAGCGCAACAAACCCCACGATCCTCGGAACAGCGCAGTCCCGGACTTCCTCCAGGAATTCAAGGACGTCTTCGCCAAGGAGTCCTTTGATGAACTGCCCATGCCGCGTCCGTGGGACCATGCCATTGAGCTACTGGACGGAGCGGAACCGACCTCTACCAAGTGCTACCCGCTGTCCCCGGCGGAACAGAAACAGCTGGACGAATTCCTGGAAGAAAATCTCCGGACTGGTCGGATCCGCCCCAGCAAGTCGCCCATGGCTGCCCCGGTGTTCTTTGTTAAGAAGAAGGATGGATCGCTCCGCTTGGTCCAGGACTACCGGAAGCTCAACAACATGACAGTCAAGAATCGGTACCCACTTCCGCTCATCTCGGACTTGGTGGACAAACTCCGGAATGCTCGCTACTTCTCCAAGCTTGACGTCCGGTGGGGTTTCAACAATGTCCGGATCAAGGAGGGTGATGAGTGGAAGGCCGCATTTCGGACTACGCGCGGACTCTTCGAACCGTTGGTAATGTTCTTCGGACTGACGAATAGCCCATCCACCTTCCAGACCATGATGAACGACCTCTTCCGGGAGCTCATTACGGAAGGTGTGGTCATTATCTATCTGGATGACATTCTGATCTACACCAAGACGCGCGAAGAGCATCGCCGGGTCCTCAGGCGTGTCCTAGAGATCCTCCAGCGGAACAAGCTCTTCCTCCGAGCGGACAAGTGCGATTTCAAGCAGACCAAGGTGGAGTATCTCGGAGTCGTCATCTCTGAGGGTAAGATCGAGATGGACCCCGTGAAGGTCTCCGGAGTTGCGGACTGGCCGACCCCTCGGACTCGGACTGAACTCCAATCCTTCCTTGGGTTCGTCAACTTCTACCGCCGCTTCATCAAGGACTACTCGCATATCGCCCGGCCTCTCTTCGACCTCACTTGCGCAAAGGAATGGCAGTGGAACGACTCCGCTCAATCCGCATTTCTTCGGATCAAAGAGCTGATCACTTCGGAACCTGTTCTTGTCTTTCCGAAGGAGGATCGGCCGTACCGGGTTGAAGCGGACTCGTCGGACTATGCTACGGGTGCAGTCTTGTCGCAACTGGATCCGGATGATGGTAAATGGCATCCTGTCGCATTCTACTCTAAAAGTCTACAGGCTGCGGAGCGGAACTACGAAATACACGACAAGGAGATGCTTTCAATCATCCGGGCGCTCGAAGAATGGCGGCACTACCTTGAAGGTGCAGAGACTCCGTTCGAGATCTGGACGGACCACAAGAACCTGGAGTACTTCATCAAGGCCCAGAAGCTCAACCGCCGTCAAGCCCGCTGGTCGCTATACCTCTCCCGCTTCGACTTCACTCTCCAGCATCGCCCGGGTCGGACTATGGGTAAACCGGACGCTCTCTCGCGACGCTCGGATCACTCGGATGGTAAGGATGACAACAAGGATGTAGTGATGCTCAAGCCATCCTACTTTGCTGTCCGTGCCACGGGTGTCACTCTTGAAGGGGAGGAGAAGGATATCCTCACGGCTATCCGGACTGGAGTGCGAGATGCGAAGTTCGAAGACGCAGTGGCAAAGGCGGCAGAGGAGCTGAAGAAGACCCAGGGCAGTCGCAAGACAGTCCGAAGTGCGGAATGGTCCCAATCGGACGGACTCCTCATGTTCCGGGGTAAGATCTACGTTCCGGACTCACCGGATTTGCGTCGGACTATTGTAGCTCAGCACCACGACACCAAGGTCGCAGGACACGCTGGCAGATGGAAGACCCTAGAGCTCGTTTCACGCAGCTACTGGTGGCCCAACATGTCCCGGTACGTCGGATCCTACACCCGCCATTGCGACCTCTGTCTCCGGACGAAGGCCCAAAGGCATCCGCCCATGGGTGAACTTCATCCACTTCCCATTCCGGATGAACGCTGGGATCGCCTGAGTGTTGACTTCATCGTCGAGCTTCCGGAGTCCGATGGGTTTGATGCTGTCATGAACGTGGTCGACTCCGTAAGCAAACGCGCCCACTTCATTCCGACTCACACCACAGTGTCTGCCCTCGGATCCGCAAACTTGTACCTGCAGAACGTCTGGAAGCTGCACGGACTCCCTCGGTCCGTTGTGTCCGACCGGGGTCCGCAATTTGTCGCAGAGTTCACCCGAGAAGTCTACCGGATGCTCGGAATCAAGCTGGCTGCCTCCACTGCGTACCACCCTCAGTCCGGCGGACAGACGGAACGGACCAACCAGGAACTCGAGTCCTATCTCCGGATCTTCGTCGGAGAGCGTCAGGACGACTGGGCTCGCCTCCTACCTATGGCGGAGTTCGCGTACAACAACCGGGTCCATGCGTCCACTCAGCAGTCACCCTTCCTCCTGGATACCGGCCGTCATCCTCGTCTCGGGTTCGAACCTCATCAGCCACCGTCTCGGATGGAGTCCGCAAACGAGTTTGTAGACCGGATGAAATCCGCAGTTGACGAGGCTCAGTCCGCATTGGTCAAGGCTCAGGACGACATGAAGCGCTACTACGATCAGCGTCGGACTCCCGCTCCGGAGTACCAACCGGGTGACAAGGTCTGGCTGGACTCGTCAGACATCAACCTTGCCCGACCCTCCCGGAAACTCGGACACGCACGACTTGGTCCTTACAAGGTCGTCCGGAAGGTTGGCAAGGCAGCGTACCGGCTCCAGCTCCCTCCGGGCTTATCCCGTCTCCATCCTGTCTTCCCCGTGGTCAAACTCTCTCCCTTCGTTCCGGACCCCATCCCGGGTAGACGCCCTGTCGCTCCGCCACCTCCGCAGCTCGTTGACGGAGAAGAGGAGCATGAGGTAGAAGAGGTCCGGAATAGCAGACGGTTCAGTCGGGTCCTGAAGTATCTGGTGCGCTGGCGAGGCTATGGTATCGAGCACGACTCCTGGGAGCCCGCGAGCAACCTCCAGCATGCCGCCCAGAAGGTCAAGGACTTCCATGATCGTCACCCGGACGCAGTACGCGTACTCCGGACGAGTCCGATGAATCCGACGACTGCTCTACCTCTCCGGATGACTCCTGCAGCACTGGACCAGTCCTGGGAGCGTTGGCGCAGTCGGAAGGCTCCGGGCTCCACGCAGTCGTACTTCGACATCTTCTCGCAGCAATCCGGAGTTTCGGGGTTGGTGAATTCATGGCGCGGCAGGCAGGAATCTTCGCGTCGGGTCGCCGCAACCTTGAAGGGGGGGTGATGTAAGGGGACACTCCTATTTTCTCTCCTTTCCTTCATTCCATGGACTCTTACCTACATTCCCTTCATTCCCCTTCGTTCCTTTTCGCTCCCTTTCCTTTCCACTTCCTTTCTACCCACTCCTTTCGCATCCGAGCCGCGTCCGGTGACTCCGGAGTCTTCCCGCACTTCGGACACTTCGGACTCGCTCGGACTCATCTATACTCTTCGGGGCTCGTCCGGGTTACCTCTATCCTTTTCCCCCACTTCATTACTCTTCGCCCTTACTTCCCCAAGTCGCTGGCACAACTCCTGTGCATTTACCCTCCACTTCATTATCACATGTTTCCTTGTACCTTGTGATATTTGTTCGGACTTGTGGCTGGTGTACTGTACAGTTATCCTGCATTCCTCTCACGCTACTACAGTATATACTTCGCTTCCTAGCATGGAGAATCCTTATCCTGTTCTCTTTGGATTCTCCCTCTGCTAGGTGAGCAGCTCTCTCATGTATTGTAGTTAGTCTTATTCATTTCTTTGGATTCTCCCTCTGCTAGGCCTGCGCTGTCGGCCATCTTGAGGTTGCCCTTACACTCACGCTACTACAGTATATACTTCGCTTTCTAGCATGGAGAATCCTTATCCTGTTCTCTTTGGATTCTCCCTCTGCTAGGTGAGCAGCCCTCTCATGTATTGTAGTTAGTCTTATTCATTATCTTTGGATTCTCCCTCTGCTAGGCCTGCGCTGTTGGCCATCTTGAGGTTGCCCTTACAAATAACCTGCATAGGACAGTGGCCGTCTTCATCGTGCTCAGGACTCACGATCCACATTCCGGTTGCTGGGTGATGAGCTGGGGAATCGTCCAGATGAACGAACCAATTTACCAATGCGCATGGCACTTGCTTGTTTGTATATGCATCGAAGTATGAGAAGAGCAAGCGTACTCTTGCTACAAGTAGGCCATTCATGGTGTCCACATTGTCGTTGCCAGTTGAGATAAACATGGTGTCATAACGGGGAAAGCCGCCAAGCCTTGGATTGGAGCGAATCATCTCTCGGCGCATGCCACCCTCTACGCAAAGTTTGCTTGGGGCGTAGAACTGAATCGACACTGAATGGAAAACTTGGATCGGCCCATTGAATGAACTGTCTACAGCATGATAGTCTGATGGTAGTTTGGGGTGATTGTGCGTGTGGATGAAGTGGTGGAGGGCTTCAGGCAAATCGGGCAGTCCGATGTGATCTGCAAGCGCAAGCAGACTTTGCGGATAGCTATATTCTGCAAAGGATTGCCAGGTCACATCAGGAAGATTCAACTTCACTGGATGATCTGTGACAGTACGGACAGTTATTCCGGTGCTCCTGTTGTTGAAACCGCCACCAGTAGGACCTACCTGTTTCCAGTGACGAGTTACTGGGAGACTAGACAACTGGGGAACTTGCTGGGGTGCGAACATCATGGATTGGTGGATACATGGCCGCTATTATTGTACAGTAGCGACGGTAATGATAAACTTGTAACCAATCAATCCCCACCCAGTGAGCTTGAAGTAGATTCTGGCCGTCGATCAAAGTAAGCATACGGCCAGATTTGTTCTATAAATGGCAGGACAGACCTTCAAAGTTCGTTCCATGACTACTCAAGGAACTCATCACCAGATCCGTCAATGTCACGGATGTCGCCCTCGGCGAATGGTTCGCAGTCGATGGCATTTGAAAGTCTGTCGGGAATAAAGACAGACGTATCATGGAAAAGGATTTCCCAGCGCTTGTCTGTCATGTTCTTGTCAATACCTTTGAGCCAGCGAGCGGCGACGGGGCCCCACCTCTCGGCCTTGAACCCATGAGACTTGTTGCGCTTCAGATCTTTCTTAGCCTCTTCAATCTGATTCACGCCCTCCTTCCAGCCATCCAAGGCACGTTCTATCTGTATTTCAAACACATCAGAGACCGATTATCATATTCAGGACTTGTTAGACATACCGCTGCACAGACAAGGGCAAGAGCACCCGCTGGACGACCGAACGCCTTCTGGGCTTGTAATACAACTCCCATATGGACCGCTAATACTTTAAGGATGAGATCAGAGAGGTATGAACCTCTATTGCTGGGCTATTTGTCCGGAGCCTCAGTCGCTTGGAGATTTTGTATATTTAGAACATGCTCACCGCGCCAGAGGGATCTCGGTAGATGAACTCAGGGACAGTGCAGTACTGGCTTTTGAGGGTGTTCAGTACCTCTTGGGGTGTTGTTGCATCTGCAGGTATGAGGTTGGCTACCACAGCAACGGCGGCTTTCCCTATAGCACTGCGGTGATCCCCGATCGTGGCTCCAGCCTGTTAAAGTTTGTCAGTTATTGGTAGATGTCAAATCATTGGCCTTACTATAATAATCAGAGCTCTATCGTCAGCAGCATCTGAAAGCTCGGGAAACGTCTCGATCCACAGCTGCTTCAAGGTGGGCAAGAATTCCGGGTGGCTTGAGGCACTGAACATGTTGGGCAACGTCCCACTCCAGTTTATTAGCGAGGCACGCAATACCTTCCACTTTTGCATATATGCTGACCATTGTCCCCTAGGGAAAGGGAGATCACGGATGGCCACTTTTTGGTTGGGGTGAGCGCTGCTTCCGGCGATTGCTAGGTGTTGGCAGTGGCAACGGCGGCAACGTCCTCGGATGTCGACTCTGGTTGGTAGTCTTGAGTGAAGGGAGGGACACTGGGCCTTTGAGACGCCGGGTTGGATCTTGCAGGTAGGTTCTTTCTACTACTATTAGTAGTTACTGATCGCCGTGAATCAGCATGAGCTGGAGTGGAGGCAATGGACAGCCTCATCGCGTGCTAAACCAGCCCAGTGTGAGAGCAAGGCCACCAGCCTCACAGCAAGCATGGTAAATCAAATATGACGAACATACCTGCGAAGTATTTCTTGCAGCAGTGGTTCAGATGCCAGGGCCCTGGGTACTTGCTTGCAGCCCTGCTTGTCGGACAGTCGCGGTCTTGCTAGTGCGAACGGCTTCGAGCATGTCGGTGGTTTCATCAGCATCCCACTCCCCATCCGTCTGAACATTGTCGTCGTGGTCACTCAGGCCATTGTTCAAGTTGGTGGGAAGTTCACGGCTGGTGGCATGGGAAGCAGAGCTTCGTTGCTCAGGCTTCAACTGATTGGGTGGGTGCCAGTCCTTTCTAAGTCCACCTAGCCCTGTGGTTTTGGCGTGCTTGCCGCTGGCAATCATCGGAATCAATAGTGAACATGGAAGTAGGGCTTCAACTTTACCTTTCATGGTCTTTGATACTCCCACCAGTTGAAGCGCCTTGAGCTTTCCGTTTTGTTCCCACCAACATGGCCTCTCTCAGCCTCTCACGTTGAGCAAGTACATCTGCTTGAACGACCCCTCGCTCCTGGCAATAGACATGGCCGGTGAGTATTTGCCCAAGATATGCTGACAATGCACTTACCCTTTTCCCGCTGGTAGCCTGAGCTGCTTTGCCCTTTGAGGTCGAGCTAGTTTTCTTCTCCGGAATCGCGATCACATCCATATCTTCAACGTCACTCCGCTCTTCGTCTCTGGTAGGCTGATACTCATGGTCTTGGGAATCTGTATCTGATACATCGACAACAGTGACAGAATCTACTTCCTGGACTTCGACATCCTCCCATGTGAAGTCTGGAGCATTGATGTCTGGAAGTGATGGGCCCTCACTCATGCTCGCGCCCCCTTCTTTGCCATCAGATACATTCACCACTCTGCTGGTGACTTTTTTAGGCTTGCTAGCCTTCATAGCATGCTTGGACAACTGGAACTTTCGGATGTCGTCAATGATCTCCAAGGTGAGTGACAGTAAACAAGATACATGCCTTTGAACCTACTGACACATCCCTATTGGTACCAGACTCTCCACCAACATCGATGTCTGGACACTCGGCAACACAGCGCCTTGCAAAATCCTCGAGAAACAAGCACTCCTCTTCCTCTGCGATTTTGTCCAGGGCATTGTGATGTGCCTGGTCGTCGATTAAACTTTTCATAAGCTTGTCAGCCTTTTTTGCGTTGTTCGCGGCTCGCACCTCTGCTGATGAGCGGTGTTTCTGGGTATTGTCACGGATGATCTGACCTGGATGTGCTGTCTTGTTAGATGCACAGGTATTGATCGTGCGAGCCGGCTGGTCCTCAAGATCTGCCTGCGCCATCTGCGAGTCGGGTTTGCTCTTGCATGCTGATGCAGTGCGGCACCTGGCTGGAACTTATTGTTCTGTTGGGAGTTCTACTCCCCCAGGCTGAGTAGGCTGAGTCGTGGACTGCATGCAAGATTGCAAGGCCTTGGTCAGAGTGTCGGTACGTTTTTTTGGCGGAGCCATGTTGATTTTGGTTGTTGATATTGGACAGTTCAATGGTGAAATTTTACAGGTATCTTTTGCTTGATTTTGTTCATTGAGGGCCGACATTTTCAACTTGTTTGAAATTGCCCTTAGTTGGGTTTGAAATTCCTGGTCAGCACACGTTACTCTGAGCCACAGTTTGGCATGATATCTGATTCCCAAATAGCACTATCCTTAGCCATGGCCAGACGGTGGCTCCGCTGTGACTTCAAAGGATGCGCTGGAAGGTTTAAGAGCTACCGCGGTTGCACTCACCATGTTTGCAGCAAGCATTATAATGGCAACACAGTTCAACGTGGCTCCCCGCTACCGCCAGATGCTATTGCCAGTGGAAGTAGTGTGCATTCGGACCACAACAGTGACACTTCAGATTTGGATAATCCAAGTCAAGCAAGCCACAGTGTATGTTACAACAATGAGGGGGATGTACCTTGGGCCGAGCCTAAGACCAAGAAGACATCCCACCTGCAACTTACAGGTTAGTTCTATGTATCCGTCTTAGGCTGAATTGACCTTTGTCTCTAGGCACTCCATGCCACCATGACAGCGATCAGCTAGAACCGGATTCTCCCCCACCTCCGAGAGACAAACCTAGCAACAATGATTGGTCACCTTTCGATTATAGCATGCAATTCCAGATTGCCGACCTTCTCTTTCACAAAGACGAGATGTCGACTTCCAATCTCAACGAGTTATTCACTCTCTTGGGACTCAACCCACCGCCACCAGCCACTTCTGACTCTGAAGACTCAGCCAGTGACATGGGCATAAACCCCAAGGCCAGTGCTCCCTTTAAGGACCACGATGACATGTATAACACCATTGATGCCTTGAAGCTTGGTGACACTCCGTGGCAATGTCTGAAAGTCAACCCTTGTGGTACGGCTGAAGAACCACTATGGAAACAGAAGATCTACAAAGTTTGGTTCCGAGACCCGGACATCGTACTGCAAAACATGCTCGATAACCCTGATTTTGATGGCAAATTCGACTATAGTCCTTACGTTGAAGTCGATGACAAGAATAACAGACGCTGGGGTGATGCCATGTCTGCTAATTATGCATGGCGTCATGCAGTAAGTCTTGGACCTTCGGTCTTTGATGAGTTATTAATCGTCCCGTTTCTTAGACAGAGATCTATAACGAAAACCCTGAGCAAAATGAGCACACCATGTACTGTCCTATTATCCTTGGAAGTGACAAGACCACGGTATCTGTTGCTACTGGACAAGTTGAGTACCATCCATTGTACCTCTCTATTGGGAACATTTGGGGCAGCACTCGTCGCGCGCACCGTCAAGGAGTTATACCAATTGCCTTTTTAGCCATTCCGAAAGGTATGTCTATCAGTATCACCTCGCCTTCTAGTCCACTGTAGCTTCGCAATTTTCTAGCCGATTGCCGCTATGATACTGATGTTTCGTTTTGGAAATTCAAGTGCCAACTTTACCATTCATCAATCTTGGCGATCTTCGCCTCAATCAAGAACTATATGACTACTCCTGTCGTTCGACGGTGCCCCGATGGCCATTTTTGCCAGGTAATCTTCGACTTTGGTGTGTTTATTGGAGACTACCCAGAGCAAGTAATGCTCGCAGCCATTGTGCAAGGATGGTGTCCACGGTACGTGCTATATATATTTGCAGCAGTTACTGAACCAGAAGTGTACCGTAGATGTACAGCACTGTGCACCGAACTGGATAATCCAACATTTGCAGCAAGACAAGAGAAAGAGCATACAAATACATTGATTAGTACATTCGATCCAGGAATCCTATGGAACAAATACGGAGTGGATGATGACATCATCGTAAGTTAATGTCTTATTCAACCACGGTCTCGCGCTTATTAGTCTCGCTAATGGCCAGCCATTTACGAATGATTTTCCTCGAGCTGATATTCATGAGATGATATTGCCTGATCTCCTCCATCAAATCATCAAAGGTACCTTGAAGGATCATCTGGTAGCTTGGGTGGGAGAATATCTAGAACTTGAGCATGGTCAAGCGGGGGCCAAAAGAATTATGGATGAAATTGATCATCGGTGAGGCCCAAACTTTAGGTATCTCCGTTTTATACCAAATTGTGAATATGTTACAGAATAGCAGTGGCGCCAAGCTTCCCTGGCCTTTGTCTGTTTCCAGACAGTCGTCAGTTTAAACAATGGACAGGCAATGATTCAAAGGCCTTGATGAAAGTATGTACTCAAATACTGTATTGCAATGGGGGGCTAACCAAAGGTGAATTCAGGTTTATCTGCCTGCCCTTGTGGGGTTTGTTCCATCTGAGATTATCAAGACGTTCCGAAACTTCCTGAATTTCTGCTACCTTGTCCAACGACCAGTCTTTACGCCACAAACACTTGAACATGTCAATCAAGCTCTGGCAGTGTTTCACCAATCTCGTGAGGTCTTCCATGATCTAGAAGTTCGTCCTGATGGCTTCTCATTGCCACAACAGCACTCGCTCATCCATTATCCCCACCTCATTCAAGAGTTCGGAGCACCAAATGGATTATGCTCATTGATTACTGAATCGCGGCACATCACAGCAGTCAAGAAGCCTTGGAGGCGATCCAGTCGCTGGAATGCCCTTGGTCAGATGTTAACCACGAATCAAGGTTTGAACAAGCTTGTGGCAATGCAAACTGACTTCGAGACCCGTGGGATGCTGCCTATTTCTCGTGACGCAGTGCCAAAGCCAGTCCCATCTGATCCACTAGATGACTCGGCGGAAGGATGCGCTCCCACAGATGATTTAGTCGAGGGCAATGTTATGCTTGCAAGGATGAGAAGTACAGTGCCACCCCCAATCTACCACCGGTTTAAACTGACAGTGATATCCTGTTTGTACTAGTACGCAACTATCCTCGCCATATGGATCTTCTGGCTGAACACATCAACATTCCCAAACTTCATGGACTCACACGGCGATTCCTATACAACCACTTGTATCCCCATGCGCACTATTCCTCTAACGACATCACCTTGGACGACTGCCCTGAGATCCATTCCAAAGTATCTGTTTACCACTCTGCCGTCGCCACATTCTTTGCACCAAGTGACATGTCAGGTATCCGGGGTATGCGCTGTGAGCGTATTCACTCTACTCCAGACTGGCGTGGCAGCGGAGAACAGAGGGACACTGCTTTTGTTGTGGAGGACCAGGAGCACCCAGGTTCTGAAGGCATGGCCGTAGTCCGTGTTCTTCTATTATTTTCTTTCAAATATGATGACATGTTGATTCCCTGCACTTTGGTCCGGTGGTTTAAACGATACAGCCAACGTCCCAATGCGAATACCGGAATGTGGATAGTTCGACCGGAGACCACTGGCCAGAATGACATGCCTGTCCTATTGGTTGTTCACTTGGATAGCATGCTTCGCCTTGCGCACCTTCTTCCTGTCTTTGGACCGGCATATCTACCCTCGCCGTTCTCTCATATGCACTCCCTTGATGCTTTCAAGGCTTTCTATATCAATAGATACATTGATCACCATGCATTTGAGATTTTATTGTAGTGGTGTTGGTCTCTTACTGTATTAACATGAACTTATTGACACATTGATCAAATTGCGGGAGATGAAGACTGTTTTGATTGTTTAACAAGAATGTATACAACATAGTGTGGTATTTAGAATGTCTCCGCAATGCTAACTGCATCCATCTCACGGATCTCCAAGTCCACCGCCGCCGCCGCTTCAGTCATCCGCACTTGCTCTTGAGCAAGAAGCATGGCCTGAACCGTTTCCGCAAGCTCCACGCCACCAGCATCGGAGGGTGATTTTTTGGTGCACAAGACATCACAGAGCATCTGCACTTGCTGTTGGCTCTCCCGGAGAAGCCGCGAGACAGCGACCATCTGCTGCTCATGGGCTTGTTGCAAATGCTGCACGTCGCGTTCATACAACTTGAGGTGGTGACAATTGATGCCCCCTGAAAAATGGGGTAACCTTTTAGTAAACTAGGAAAATGAAGCAGACAAGGAACACACCGTCACAGGTGCGGCCACCGGCAATGCTATGGGGTCTGCTACCATCCACCTCCGATTCAGGCTGAGACTCCTCCGAGTCATCAGCATCAATGGGTGCTCTGCGCATCATGTGGGTGATGCTGGGTTGACGAGAGCCAGAAGTGAGATTCATAAAGGAGAATAGAGCTCGCAAAAGGGGATGGCGGAGCTGAACTTGCCCATTGACAGTATCAGGTCTCCTTGGGGAGAAGATGCAAGGAAGCGATGGTGAGAGTGTACGGGGCATTGCGAGATGATAGGTGTTGATGCAGTGTCAATGATCGATTCGTACGATGGTTGCGGAATCAAGTCACTGTTTGTACTTATTTAAAACTTCAAGAAGTTTCCCATCAGATGATTGACATGGCACGCATAATCCATGCCACCTGTCCAGATCACCAGTACCCCTGTTCCTCCCAGTCTACTTCCGGTGGCGGCCAGTGATTCCAGAAAACTGCGATCTTGCTGATGCAGGGCAACAAAACACACCAGAGCAACTAAAATGTACGTCGTCTAGTAGCTAGCCAGATTAGTGTATCTGTTCGCGGTCCAGGGGCAGAGGCATGTTCAACATCAGGACCTGGAGGCTGCCCTTGGTCGTTAACATCACTCCCTTCCTCCTTGTAGTTGAAGGCAAGTGTGGTGCCACAAAACGGGAGGATTGGGGGATGATCACCAGAAGCGACATGTTTCATTCAGCATTTGGCGCTGCCTATACACTTGCCGCAAAGCAAAGAGCTTGTCGGACCGAATGATGGTTTGTAGCATTTGTTTTAGAGGTTTATTCCGGTTCGGCCGATGCCATGGTTGCTTGATAGCCGGAATATGCTTTGATTCGGTTATTGATGTACATAGTCCATTTGGCGAACCAAATAGCTCGATACCATCTGCGTAATTCATAAGCGCATGTTGTCGTGGCAGCGATATATCAGCTCAAACATGCTTTTCAAGAAAGATGTTACAATAGCAATGGAAGTCAGCAAGTTGAATGCGAAACTGTTGGAGATCCTTAGTTGAGATAGAGTTCCGTCGAACGGAGATAGAGTTCCGTCGAACGATGTAACAGCAATTCACAAAGGCCACGATGCATTGCACCGTTTCTTCTGGTATGTGCCCACAAATAGCAGCAATATAAACCTATGTTACGCTGTCTCAGGAGATAATACCACTCAAAGGTCCGAACACACCTTCATTAATGCCTTAGAATCGTCACCCGTCCACTGGTTGAAATCTCTACCATCAGGAAAGCGGCGCAACCTGGGATATGGGGGCACAGCAGATATTCTATGGTTCATTTCAGGCTGTGAAACGGATGGGAACTACATGAAACTACTCACTGTTGGTCAATATCTTGGATAATGGCCAATGCAAGTGACTTCGGATGTGCCTGTAAGATGTAGTCTTGAACCCAGGTTACCAGATGGTCTTTAAATGTGCCCTTGATCAACTGGTGAAGTAAATCTGGTGTGATTGATTCATGAATGTCTGCACGAGGGAATCCATGTGTAAACAGCTAAATCAAATATACAAATGAGTGCAGGAATGTCAATATGTTATCAGAGCACGCACCACAACATCACTACGCAGTCCATATTCATCCCACACGATTCCAGGATCAAAAAGATCCAACAGCATGTCAGTCTTCTCATGTGTGCGTAGATGCGCGCTGCTGTCATCGAGATTATCAGGGCGAGCATCACATCTAGAGAATAATTATTGTTAGTGCAAGTACCTGCCTCCCACGTAGCAAAACCCTACTCCGGACACCATGTCGACACAATTCCAGCAAGCCATACTTGCTCTGGGTAGTCGGCAATATAGGGTCCAATTACGGGTCCTGTAATGAAATGAAAGGATCTGTTCTTACCTTTAGTTGGGATGCTTGGGTGCTTCTGAAAGAGGGTGGCTATTGGGATAGCCGGATGCCGGTGATCGGGGAATCGGGATCTTTATCTATCGAGTCAAAACGTCAGCGCTAATCCCCTCGCCCTTCTCCCTTCTAATTGTCGTCATCCTGCCCTTTAACCTTTGAATCTTGGCTGTCCTCTATGACTGTTCTTTCCGCGTCCTTGCTTCAATATGGTAGGCTCCCGTTTATTTGTATACTTTTTTACAATTTTACAGCTGCAATGAGCTCTATAAAGGGTCCCGGCTCTCGTCCTCTGTCTCCAGCTTCCTCGACCACTCGCATCATTCAAACCGACTTTCCTTCGTCTCATGCAGCCATCAGCTCAGCCAACCACCGTCACCAGTGCGCGAGCGAGTCCCGACGACACTCAAGCAACCTCGGATCTTTGCGTGACCCTGTAAGGGCAACCTCAAGATGGCCAACAGCGCAGGCCTAGCAGAGGGAGAATCCAAAGATAATGAATAAGACTAACTACAATACATGAGAGGGCTGCTCACCTAGCAGAGGGAGAATCCAAAGAGAACAGGATAAGGATTATCCATGCTAGGAAGCGAAGTATATACTGTAGTAGCATGAGAGGAATGCAGGATAACTGTACAGTACACCAGCCACAAGTCCGAGTGAATATCACAAGGTACAAGGGAACATGTGATAATGAAGTGGAGGGTAAATGGACAGGAGTCGTGCCAGCAACTTGGGGGAGTAAGGGCGAAGAGTAATGAAGTGGGGGAGAAGGATAGAGGTAGCCCGGACAAGTCCCGAAGAGTATAGATGAGTCCTAGCGAGTCCGAAGTGTCCGAAACGAGTCCGAAGTATCCGAAATGAGTCCGAGCGAGTCCGAAGTGTCCGAAGTGCGGGAAGACTCCGGAGTCACCGGACGCGGCTCGGATGCAAAAGGAGTGGGTGGAAAGGAAATGGAAAGGACAGGGAGCGAAAAGGAACAAAGGGGAACGAAGGGAATGTAGGTAAGAGTCCATGGGATGAAGGAAAGGAGAGAAAATAGGAGTGTCCCCTTACAGACCCCCAAAGTTTGTTATGCAATTCTCGAGGCTCCCTTAACCCCTTCCCAGACATGTCAAGTGCAATATATGGCCGCAAATGTGTTGGTGGAGGCATATGCCACCGGAATGTTCCTGTGCGTATTTTGTTGCCCTCCTATCACTTCACAACTAATTTTCTTCTTGTACAGCTCCATGCACGACAAACTCCTTTGCAGGCGAGTCAAGCACAACCTCGACTGGCCCACAGACCGTCTTAACACCCCCCAAGGGTGCATGTTCATATCGCAGGTCTGATGGCTGGTTGTGGTGAGCTCTCTCATCTATCCGCTGCCTCAACTTCCTCACCGTTTGCACAGTATCATCTGAACACCGCTTTGGGGTTGACTAGCATTTGTTACACCATTTTGGGTGTTGCTCTTGGTATGACTGTTTTTTTACCTCTTTATTGTGTGTACTCAACATTAGCAGAACCCATTTGCCAATTCCTTCGAGCCTAATGTTTGAGGTTCCTAGTGAAGTAGGCATCCTACATATCTCGTAGTCTAGTAGCAAAAAATATATTTGTGGTTTCTACTCTGTTGGCATGTTATGCCAATCAGATTCTTCTAATTCCTCCTCTGGCTGATACTGAGGTACATCCGCTTCATTGATTTGCGGAGTCTGAGCCCGTTGGGAGACGTAACCACTGTAAGGGTTCTGCCACTTGAGTTGACGCGGCGGGGGTAAGATAATGGTATCTGCGGCAAGAGTTCGGGCCGTCGTGGCAGCCTGCATTGACTTTAGCTTTGTTGTTTTGTATTTGTTGTATACGTACCGATGTAAGATGGCCATCTAATAATACAATGCTTCGCAAAATGAGTTTGACAGTGTAGGTCCCTTTGCTCGGGAGGCTCAGCATAGAAGCCTGAATTTCGACGATATCGCCGATCTGAAAAACAATAGGCATTGTCGGTTTATATCTGCTTCTTCGGTTCAGTAACACATTTAGCTTTGGGGCCTTATCGACTTGCCTGTTTTGGTCTGCATGAGATGTTTGGATGTAATATCCTACTTCGTTGTCCTCCGTATGCACCCACTTTGTCGCATCTACCTTGCCGAGGATTCCACGTGGATCAAGTTCTGGATTTATACTGACAACGTCGAATCCCGATGCCTGTTTAATGGGTGTGAAGAAACGAGAGCTGGCAGTGAGCGCGGGAGACTCAATGGCACCACCATTGCCTGCATCACGGTATTTGCTGATGAACTCGGGGACTGGCTGCAATTTCGCATTAGGTGTGTAACGACTGAACATAGTGTACATGTGGCAACAGTTTTGCACAATGTTGTCGAAGGACTTGGATCCAAGTCCGGTAATTGTTATGCTCTGTCTTGCATGAGCCAATTGTTTCGCTTTGTTGGGCCGACTGTTTCCACCGAACATGTAATATTCAGTTTTACGGGTGTAATTCGGTGCCATGGATGTACAGTGACTCAAAAAACCCTTTCTATGTTGGTCACTTTTGCACAAAACACTGAATAACGGAGGAACTACTGAAAATGATAGCTCAGGGTCAGTGTAGCATTTGTAGTGCCCCTTCTCCGCTAAGTGACAAATCTTGACTCAAGTCAATTGGATAAGTCTAGGGTGTTCTACAGAATTTCTAATCAAGGGATGCATTGAAAGGGTTTTTTGAGTGTGGTTCCTGAATGCCTTGTTCCTGGCTATTACTCATCATAAAGTCTCAGTATCATCAGGATGACACATATGATGTCATCTATTACTCATCCAGGCACAACCGGCACTATATATAAACTCTGTCAGTTGTTCATCTTCCCTACAACAATGAAGTCCATTCTCAACTCCCTTCGCACCGATATCACCTCTGCCCTTCTTAATACCAGTCATTCTCAGGCCAAGATTGCTCTCAAGTTGGGTTGTAGTGCAGCTACTGTCTCTAGGGTAGCTCGCCAGGTAATCCCTAACAAGGAAAACCTGGTGGGTGGACGTCCTAAGAAGCTCACTATGGCTGATGAGAGGGCAATCATCAGCCAAATCAACTCTGGAAAAGCTGAGAATGCTGTTCAGGTCACCAAAAACTTGAACAAAGTCCTCAGTGATCCTGTCTCCACACAAACTGTGCGCAATGTCCTCAAGAAAAACGATATGAAGGCTGTGGTGAAGAAGAAAAAACCCTTTCTATCGGTCAAACATCGGAAAGCACGTCTTGCTTGGGCTTTGAAGTACAGGAATTGGACAGTGGAGGACTTCAAGAGGGTATTGTGGTCAGATGAAACTAAAATCAACAGATTTGGGTCAGATGGTAGGAAATGGGTGTGGAAACAGAAGGGGGCACCTTTGCAGGATCGGGAGGTTGAAGGAACTGTCAAGCATGGGGGTGGAAATATTATGGTCTGGGGGGTGATGGGATGGAATGGGGTGGGGAGAATGGTTGAGGTTGAGGGGAGGATGGATGCCCAGCAATATGTGGACATTCTAGCTGATGGTCTCCTTCCCACCATTGAGGAGTGCGAAATTCCTGCAGAGGATGTGATCTTTCAGCAGGATAACGACCCCAAGCACACCTCAAAATTGGCACAGAAGTGGTTTGAGGATCAAGGGATTGTGGTCATGGACTGGCCTGCCCAGTCTCCTGATATTAATCCCATTGAACACCTCTGGGAGCACATCAAACAGCAACTCAACACCTACAGTACACCATCTAGAGGAGTACATGAATTATGGGAGAGGGTTGCAGAGGTATGGGATGGGATTGATGTGGAGGTATGCCAGAACCTTATATCAAGCCTTCCCAGGAGGATTGAGGCTGTTATCAAGGCCAAAGGGGGGAATACCAAGTATTAGATAGTACACTCAAAAAACCCTTTCAATGCATCCCTTGATTAGAAATTCTGTAGAATATTCTAGACTTATCCAATTGACTTGAGTCAAGATTTGTCACTTAGCGGAGAAGGGGCACTACAAACACTACACTGACCCTGAGCTACCATTTTCAGTAGTTCCTCCGTTATTCAGTGCTTTGTGCAAAAGTGACCAACATAGAAAGGGTTTTTTGAGTCACTGTACTTACCTGGATCTCAGCTCAAAGGGAGGTAACACACAGCTGGCAATGATTCCTTGAATGGCTATCGACACTTCTTCCGCTTCGCCAGTAACATCGTTCAGTTGAATTAGTTTTGACGCTGCGTTGCTCTCTTCTTTGTGGAGCACATTGCGCTCTCCCACATGTTTGGGTGAAGGTCACCTGAATGGCTGAACAACACCTGAACAACACCTGAACAACACCTGAACAGAATCCAAACATTGGCTGAATTTCTCCACCAAAACTCTTTTTTTTGGTTCAGATTTTGTTCAGGTCACCTGAATTGTTCACCTGAACATTTGGTGAATTCAGGTGAATTCAGGTGGAATACATTAGTACTACTTCTTGTTGCAGAAATTCTTGAATAATGGCTCTTTGTAAGTGGGAAAACTGTTCAAAGAGGTCAACAATACTTCTTCCTAAGAATATCTTTTACTCTGAACACTGTTCTACTAACAAATAGTATATTGTTACAGTGGGAAAATATTACCCAAAGTAGAAGTTGTAGAGCCATCTTTTCCGACTCTGCTGGTATAGATAGCATTGTGAGAACTTGACTTATTAGTGAGAAAAATGTAAATTACTTGAAAAAACAGGGAAAGGTTTCAGTTTTCTTACTGTATAGACTGTTTAAGAGGTCTACTACATTTATCAGCAGTTGTTTTGTCAATGCTAAACACTCATTATGCTGAAGAAAGAGTTTCCTGACGTTCCCACAGTAACAAGAATTTTCCCATGGTCAGTATTAAACTTAGTGAATACTTTTGGGAAAGACCAAGATACTTTTTGTAGGGTATATCAACCTGGTTATGTGACTGTTTGTAGAATTCTCATGAGACTTTCATTGTTCTGCAGTAGTTGATAGAAATAGTATAATCACATAGAAATGACATCATGGATGACAACCATATTGATGAGACCATATTCAGGTGTTGTTTGTATGTGGTTGAGATGATGTTTGGGTAATGTTCATGTGATGTTCAGATAATGTTCAGGTGATGTTCAGATGCTGCTCAGATGACATTCATCTGACATTCAGATAGAATTTGGATGATCTCTGTTCACCTGAACATCACCTGAACATCATCTGAACACCATCTGAACACCATCTGAACATTATCTGAACCTGAACAAAGGCTACAAACAGAATCTGAACATTACCTGAACATTTGGTGAAATTCACCTGAACAGTATCTGAACAATACCCGAATACCTGAACATCACCTGAACGTCAGATGAACATGTGGTGGACTGCAACATACACCTTGGCTTCAGCTTTGAAGCTGTGCCCTCCTAGCCCTGCGGTGTCCCAATTTCGGAGAGAGCAAGGTGAGAGGCAGGCTCTGCAGAGGAGCCCGCAGCAAAGACTTAGAAGGCAAGAGGATGGCAAATAGGAACTAAGATTCAGAGTAGAGAATACATGTGTACTAGTGCTACTATAAATACTAACTAACACATGTATGTAGTGAGGCTAGTATGTAAGTACACATGTACATGAAACATGTAACAAAGTAATCCTAGTACTGTGCACCATGCATAAGCCTCAAGGGTGGAGCCCGAGGGATTCCGAAGGTCCAAGTATCTGAAAGGGGCGTAGGGGGGACCCCTAAGGGGGCGTGATGACTGGTCTATGACATTGACAATGGATCTGCCGTAGTTGTTAAGAGCCACACTCGCAGGGGGCTCGGGATACGCGGACCCGCGGGTGCGCGGTTCCACGTAGACGCGCGGGGGAAACAGGGGAAACAAGGACGTACGGGCTTGGCTTCAGCTACTGGCTGCACCTCCCACACTCTTGCGTGCCCTGTATTTCCGGGAGGGGTCCTACGCGGGTACCGAGGGTACGGGCGGAGACGAAGGGGTGTGACGGAGGGAGAACCCACTAGAGGGGCAAGAGTGCGAGTGCGGAAAAGGAACTAATATTCGAACTAAGGTAGCTGTATGTACGGTACAGGACTATATACTAAGGAACACGCGGCGTCCGCGCGTTCACGAAACAGTAATGAGTTTGGTCGTAGTAACTACAGTGTGCTCAAGTATGTACTTAGTCCGTAATCCGGGAAGTCCGCGTGGCCGCGTGTAAGCGCGGCCCGAGCCCATAGTCAGGAAACGCACGTGGGCGCGCCCCTAGTAGCCCCTAAGGGGTTCCTTGGACGCGCCTATAACAGTACCTCCCCTTTAAGGCTGAGACCCATAGAGGCCTAGACGCTCATGACGTGCAGTGATATGGTGATGATGCGGCATGGGCGTCATGAGGGTCCGTGGTGAGTCAGCCTCTGCGTGCACGTGAGCAAAAGAAGCGCGGAGGCGAGGTGTGTCAGCAGTATAAAAGGCAGAAGCACGGAGGAGCGAGGCCATAATGGCACCTCTCAACAAGCACGCCCTCGATAACACCAACAACAACGAGCGACGGCGGCAGGAGGAGAAACGACGGTGCGAGGACGAGAGTGTCGCGGAGGCAGATGCTCGGTTGGAGAAGGAGGCGGCGGCGGCGGCGGCGGGAGAAACAGCAGGCGCGGAAAGCCGCGGAGGACGCGCACGTGCGAGTGGCCGTCTCGGAGTACATTGCGGCGCAGGTGCGGATGGATGAAAACAAGGACGACACTGCTGAGGAGGCCATCAGCGCGGCGGCAGGGAGTAGCACGGGTGCCGGCACGCGGGAGGGGGCGAAGAAGGGTGCCAAGGGCGACGAAAGGGAAGAGCCCAAGGGGCCGTTGCGGAAGGAGCCTTGCCTCGGGTGCGTGCAACGCAACCTCGAGTGTCGTTCGCGCCTGTGAGTCCACATTCCTTTATTGTTTTAGCGCGCCTTGCTGACTTGTTTGTAGTGTGAAAGGGGCCCGCACTTGCTGGGAGTGCGTGGGCGGGGTCCGGGGCACGGCACGTGAAGCGCTGCCTGCTGTAACCGCGGAGCCGACAGTGGCGTCGTCGCTGGGTGACCTGGCCGTGCAGGTCTTTGACATGTCCGTACATGTCCTCGAGCGGTCACAGGCGTTATTGCGCCTGGAGGAGCGGCTTGGTGAGGTGGCAAACACGGTGGCGTGGATCGCCGGTGCAATGGGGGCGCCACCAGACGTGGCTGAGCGGGTGCGCAGAAAGGAGGGGGTACGGACGAAGTCGCCGCAGGCGGTGGGTTCGACGAGCGCGGAAGGTACGGAGGACGCAGGGGAAGAAATGGAGGTGGACGACGCGAAGGCTCCGTCGACCAGCGACACCGACAATGTGCAGGACGCAGAGCCGGCGGACACGACGGACGAGGAGGAGGGGATGGTTTGGGAAGGGACAGGGAAGGTGCTGTCGAGCGACGACGAGGAGGATAGCGAGTAGGAGGAAGCGCGGGGCCCTCATCGGCGCGCGAGGCGAACGAAAGGAGAAAAAAAAACTATCTATGTTATATGTTTTTTGTGTTTTTGTTTTTTCTCTTGTTTGTTTTTTTTTTTTGTAATCTATAACTGCCAGTAACCACAGTGTGATTGTAAGAAGAACCTAGCACAAGAAGAAGAAAAAGAGAGAGGAACTTAAGAATTTAGGAGAGAGTAGTATACATCAGGTAGTGGGCGCGGGTGCGCGCGGAGCGAGCAGGGAATAAGGGAAAAGTATTGAGGCGCGGATGCGCGGTGAGGTTGGGTGTGTTGATGGGGAGCGCGCGCGCGGGGCGAGTGGGGTGGATGAGCGTGGGTGCGCGTGGCTTGTTGCAAGTGTAGATGGAGAATGCGCGGATGCGCGGGGAAAATAAGAGAAAGGAGGGTAATGTGCGGGTGCGCGGCGGAGCAATCTACGGGTGATACAAGCGCGGTGCGCACGGGGAGAAAGAAGATGTTGAGTGGGGTGCGCGGTAACGCGGAAAGAAACAGAGAAAATGAGATGAAGGACCATTACGCGGGTCCGGGCTTGTCAGGATAGCGCAGGTGGAATTCTGCAACGAGTTCCTGCGCGTGCCCGAGCTCGTCCGCGGAGAGCCACGAGAATTCTTCATCAGTGTGCTCGTAGCCGAGCCATCGAACGTAGTATTGGAGTTTTACTTTCTGTCGACGGTCGATTTTGGAGTCTACAATTTCAGCTATTTCAAATTCGTCGTTACCATCAACTTCAATGGGTGGGGGAGGGGATTGTACGCGATTTGGGATCGCGTTGGGTGTCTCGGGTTCGAGCATAGAGACGTGGAATACGGGGTGCACCCCGCGGAGATTTTCCGGGAGACGGATGGTGAACGAAGAGGGTCCTGCTTGGTGAATGATTTCAAACGGACCAAGAAATTTCTCCGCGAGTTTGTGCAAGGGGCGCGTGGTACGGAAGAATTTGGCCTTCACAAAAACCTTTTCGCCAACCTTGAAATCCGGCGCGGGTGCGCGGCGACGATCAGCTGGTCCTTGATAACAGGCTTGCACCTCAGTCATCACGGTACGTAGCTCTTGATGGAGCTCGTTGAGGTCGGTTACAAAGGTTCTTGCGCGGGCCGAGGCGAGGTCGAGGTCGGGATTAAGGGAGAGATTGGGGTGATAACCTTTGTTCGCAAAGAATGGAGATACTCCAGTGGTAACACTAGGAGCGTTGTTGAATGCGAACTCGGCGAGGGGCAGGAGGTCAGCCCAGTTATCCTGTTGATAATTACAATAAATGCGTAAGTATTGCTCAAGGGTTTGGTTAGTGCGCTCTGTTTGGCCATCACCTTCAGGATGATATCCTGAAGTGAAGTGGAGCTTCATGTCCAACCCTTTTCCTAAGGACCGGAAGAAGCGAGAAACAAACTCGGAGCCGCGGTCAGACGTGACGTGCACGGGGACTCTGTGTTTAGAGAAAACATGAATAACGAATAACTTAGCTAGCCCTTCCGAAGTGATGGTGTCGTGGCACGGAATGAAGATTCCTTGCTTGGAGAGTCGGTCCATCACGATGAGGATGGAGTCGTACCCGAGGGACGGGGGAAGTTTCTTGATAAAATCCATGGAGATCGAGTCCCAAGGTCGAACGGGAACCGGAAGTTGTCGTAGCATGCCGTAGGGCTTGTGACGCTGGGGCTTGCTACGCATACAGGTGGTACAAGACTTGCAGTAATGTTGAACGAATTCTCGGAGCTTCGGCCACGTATATTTGCGGCGCACAAGTTCAATGGTCTTGTTCTGCCCGTAATGTCCAGCGAGGATATGATCATGTTTGAAACGGAGTACGCGGAGGCGAAGATCTCCGTGGTCGGGGACGTAGACGCGGCCGTCGAGGCGAAGTAGATTATCTTTGGAGCGCGACCACCGTGGTTCAAGATTTTCAAGTCGGGCCTTGGTAACTGGGTCTAGCAGGTAAGCGTCAATAATATCCTTGTGCAACTTCTCTGTGTCCATAATAATGGAACCGCGAAGCGCGGGTTCCCAGAGGTAAGTCGCGTGGATAGACGCGGTCAGCTGTTCATTCGAGAATATAGGCTTCAAATTTTGAGGGTTGACCGTAGCATAGCCGTCACCTCCCTCCCTAAGGTAGACATCCCAACGTCTCGTGAGGGCGTCGGGTTTGGAGCCGAGCCTTCCAGGACGGAAGCGGATGAGGAGGTTAAATTGTGAGAGGTACTCGGACCACCGCGCTTGGCGGCGGGTCAGGATCTTGGTGGTCAAGAAGTATTCTAGGTTCTTATGATCAGTAACCACGTCGATTGGCTTACCAGACCCTTCCAGGTAATGGTGCCAGACGCGGAATGCTTCGAAAATGGCGAGGAGTTCCTTGTCGTGAACGTCGTAGTTCAGTTCTATAGAGCTGAAGGTGTGTGAGTGAAACACGACTGGGTGGATTTCACCGTCTGACGTGTAGATGGACAGAATCGCGCCTAGCACGTAGTCCGAGGCGTCCGTCTCCACAACAAGTGGCGCGTCCGGTACTCAATGCGTAAGCACGGGGGCCGAGGTGAACGCTTGTTTGAGTGCGTTGAAGGAGTCACGCGCTGCCTGATCCCAATTCCAGGGCAGTCCTTTGCGCGTGCGACGGGTCAAAGGGACCACAATATCCGAGTAGTTTCGGATGAAGCAGCGGTAGAAATTGGCAAAGCCGAGGAAGGATTGTATGTCGCAAATCTTCCGCGGTTCCAGCCAGTCTTGGATCGTCTTGACTTCCGAGTTATCCATGGTAAGACCTTGCGGGGAGAGAATGTAGCCGAGATATTCCACAGTGTCTGCATGGAATTCGCATTTGTCAGCGCGCGCGTAGAGTTTGTGTTGGCGGAGCCAACGGAGAACCTCCTTGACGTGTTTCTTGTAATCTGCCATGTTATCAGAGTAGATTAGTATATCATCCAGGTAAATGATAACATAGACGTCGAGGAGATCTGCAAAAATGTCGTTCATGAACCGCTGGAACGCGGAGGGAGCGTTAGTCAACCCGAAGGGTACAACCAACCACTCGAAGGAGCCATAGCGGGTCCGGAACGTGGTTTTCCATTTGTCTCCCTCGGCGATGCGTACCAGATGGTATGCGTGCCGAAGGTCGATCTTCATATATACCGATGCTTTGCATGGAGTATCGAGGAGATCCGAGATAAGGGGCAAGGGATAGCGGTCTTTCTTCAAGATGCGATTGAGGCCGCGGTAATCGACACAAAGCCGAAGGGAACCGTCTTTCTTCTTGACAAAAAGAACGGGTGCGCCGTGGGGCGACTTGCTGGATCGTATAAATCCAAGTCCGAGGTGTTCGTCGATAAACTCCTTTAAGGTCTGCTGCTCTGATTGCAAAAGCGAGTACATGGCACCGACCGGAGGCGCGGCGCCGTCTTTGAGTTCGATCTTGAGGTCATAGGGTCGGTGTTCAGCTAGTGTGTCGGCCTTGCCTTTACTAAACATGTCCGAGAATTCATGGTATTCTTCGGGGACTGTGGATAGGTCGGGGTCAGTTATGCTAGCGGCTCTGGCGGAGGTGGTCTCGGGTCGTATCATAATCTGAAAAACCATGGATCCCGCAAGTCGGGACGCAGCACGGAACGCGGCTGCGTTGACCAGTGAGATGTTAGGCGGAGAGGACGAAGTCAGGGCCGAGGTCGGAGTCGAGGGTGTCGAAGGAGATGCTTCAACACAAGAGGTAGCGCGCACCGCGGGCGGCGCGCAAGGCCTTATACTAGGAGTGTCGAGAATTGGGGAATGGAAAGTGATGCTGCTCTGAGCCCAGTCAATCAACGGATTGTAGCGGGAGAGCCAGTTGTATCCAAGAACCACAGAACAGGACGGATCCAGAGGGGTCACAAGACAAGTGACAGTCATATTGTCGCCAGACGGGAACCGGAGATGGATATCTATAGCTTCGGTAATGAAGTTGTTAGAGGTACCATCAAAAAGCAGTAGTTTAATAGGAGCTATAGGGTAAGTAATGAGTCCATGTGAACAAGAGAACATAGTATCTACGAAACAATGGGTCGAACCAGAATCAATGAGAGCACGAAAACGAGCGAGGGAGTCCGAGAGTGAATTAGAAGTAAGTAGTAAATGTAACGCGGAAGGCGAGGAGAGCACGGAACCGTTTAGTCTACAAACTGCCGGCCATAGAACAGGAGGGCGACCTACACGAGCCGGAGACTCGGAGGCGCCAGTCAGTTTTTCGATTCGGCGTCAGAGATGTGCGCGGTGGACTCTGCGTCTTCCGCGGGTTCGGTGACCGCAGCGCGGGCCTTGGCCTTCTTCTGGCTCTTCAGGCATTTGTTCGCCTTGTGCCCCGCGCTGCCGCAGAACAAACAGAGCTTGTTGTCGAAACGTCATTGATGTTCCTCAGGAGTGAGTTTGCCATTGGCGCCGAGGTGAGTGGAGTCTTTGGAAGTTGCAGGTGCGTGGGGAGCCGAGGACGAAGATTTCGAGGACGAAGGAGCGGAGGACTTAGAGGACGGGGTGGACGCGGAAGAGGATTTTGCAGGCGCGGATTTCTCGGAGGCGCGGGTGTTGCACATACGCTCGGCCTCCCGTTCCCAGTGACGCTGGTCGATGGCCTGCGCGAGGGAGCAGAGCCGTGCGAGCAAGCCCGGCTTCGAGTGGTTCAGGAGAGCGTCCTTGATTCTGTCCGGGAGACCCTGGTAGTAACGGTGCTGGAGAGCCGCGGGGCCCCAGGACACCAACGCAGAGTGCTGCTGGAACAACACATTGTACTTACTTATGCGTTGCCTGTCCCCCATCTTGAGTTGGTCCAATACCGCTTCAGCCTCCACGGTAGCGTCAAACGCACCAAAATTCTCTTGGAGAACTTGAACGAAGGTCGAGTAGCTATGGAGCCATTCGGGATCCGCGGCGTCATCGATCAGCTCGGGCTGAAAGTAGGCGAACACGTTTCCCTTGAGGTACAAGCAGGCGAACGTCACTTTATCCTCGTCG